CCCCCAAAAAAACATCATTAAAATAAATAAATAAAAATAAAAATAACATAAAAATCAGCCAAAACGTTTACAAGAAAAACGGTTTCTAGCGCACGCTGGCTCCGTGCGCGAGCGATTCGTAATTCGTTGACGTAATTTATTGGTATGTCCTCTTATTTACCACGGTTCTYGACCAATCAGAAAACGAGACATTTGTGGTAAAAATAAAGTTGATATCATACAAAGCATTTATTCTTCATCCAAACAGAATTACCTTTAAAAATGATTTTGATTTCRAAGACCCCATTGACGGATATCTCTTGACTCGTAGGTTTTTGTAAGTATCCCTTGATTTTGACCTCCGCCGCAACGCGATCGTTTCGTTTGGTAAACTTTTCYTAACTGAAAATGAATAACATATATATTACGGTATATAAGACCATCTTCCAGTCTACAGCATCGCCTGATGAAGACTAGCAGTAGCAGTCGAAAACATCGCGGTTCGCCCAAGTAAGAGACAAATGAATAAATATAAAGTTTGGTTTATATCCACGACGGATATTTTCAATTTTATCAAAATATATGTTATAGACCTCTTTACCTTTGGGCGTAAGGTTTTCCATTTCATACCACGTGTCTTTCCCTAGAGTATCATTTCTTTGTTTACCGCCATTTGCATTGCTACGCGGCCACCCCAGACAAAAATGAATCAYGACGTGCACTTTGCGACTGCCGTCAATCAAACACGTTGACGTCATTTACACGTATTTGGATCGGCCCGGTGAGTGTGGCTCATAATACTTGTAAACAATCGACAAATTTTGGCGCTTTTTGAATCACACACGCGTGTAAATGACGTCAACGTATTTGATTGACGGCAGTCGCAAAGTGCACGTCGTGATTCATTTTTGTCTGGGATGGCCGCGTAGCAATACAAATGGCGGTAAAAGGTTGCACATGAGAAGACACATGAATATGGATACAAATAAGGAATGACACGTGATCTTAAAAATAAACCCAAAACATTACGCTCGAGATTAATAAAGGTCTATTGGGTGTTTTCAAAATTCAGACAAATAAACTGTTTTCAAATTACCTAGAACCCATAAGTTGTTCATTTTGTTCAGTTTGTGATTTAAACTGTTCCTGATTCGTTCAAAGGCATCTCTGTCCTCACATGCCGCGGGATATTCATTGCAGCACTCACTAAATTTTACGTACACCAACGAAGAGGAATTACTTAAGGGTGGAACCAGAACACTGGAATCTGAATACACCATGCAAATAGAAACAATATCAGTCAAACAATACAACGATATACRCCCTGACGATAAGTCAGACAAACGATCAGACAGACAGACACACGTTACATAGAGACACACAATAGAATCATGAGAATATTGAATATAGTGGTAGTGCGTGTAGRAGAAAAGTGTCCCCAATTAGTGCGAAGGCGCTAGAACGACTAGACACTTAAAAATAKWTTTTTATTTTTTTATTTACAATACAGACAGACACACGGCAAAGACAGACAAAAGGTACTGACACATGATCAGACAGAAAATATGCACACGATACAGATAGAGACAGACAGAAACACGGTCAGACGCACACATGATACAGACAGACAGACAAACACACGATAAAACAGACAAGACTGACATATAATAGATTAACACACAGATAAGCAAAAAACTTAAAACAGAAAATGCATAAGGCTTAAASACAAAAGACTCTAAATAGACTTGAACATAAACAGATATGCTGCTAAGTATGTCGTTAATTACCTGTTAGCTTTGTCTTAATAACCAACGGAGATGCCATAATTTGGGTTTTCRCAAAACAAAGAAAAACGACAATAAAGCACCGTCGCATCTTGACAGTTAACATCTGAAAAGAAAAAGAAGTTTTTGTTTTCGCCTGTCTTCTATCACTGGCTTACCACCATTGAATAAGCTTCCAATAAAAACATGGTTGAATACTTAAATGAAACAGTCACACAAGTTGGTGATTAATGGAGCTGGTTGAGGCAAAACTGTGACCTCTATGCACAGGTGGCGTCAATTAGGTTAAAGGTCAAAGTATAGACTAGTAACCCTTTAAAATAGGTTATTCTTATTGATATTCTACAATGATCTTATAATGTTGTTATTGTTATTAACAACGAATACAGGGACATCATTTTCGAGCTCCTCACACGAAGAGTTCTTAGAAATTAAGTGATACACTGGAATACGCCTTTAAGCTGAAATATACGCCTTTTAAATTTATTTAAGTACATTCTATCGTGTTTTCACTATCGTATCAATGGCGTTTRGCGTTCTGATTCGGTCACTACGCATACCAAAAGGTTCTTATTAACGCCTGAATAGATGATGTAGTGAAAAGCGACTTCTGGTCTCTTTTTTCCTTGATTTTTCATCTTTTGTTTTGTTTTCTTTCTTTTTTCTTCCTTCTTCTTTTATTCTTTTATTCATTCATTCATTCATTCATTCTTTCTTTCTTTCTTTCTTTCATTCTTTCTTTCTTTCCTTCCTTTCTTTTTTTCTTTCTTTCTTTCTTTCTTCTTTCCTTCCTTCCTTCCTTCCTCTCTATCTTTTGATGCTTTCATTCCACTTCAGTCATTCCACATCCTTAACAATGAAAATTTCAGAAACTAAAAAGGATAATAAACACTGACCCCGCGTGATGTAATACACTACACCGTTACGACACATGACCAGTTACATCAATTTGAATCCCAGTTCGACATTCATTTAACTTTACCGACAAACAAAATTCGTCTGCAATCTATCCCATTTTCTGCCGGGTCGGTCCACGAACAAAACATTCAGATCTAGTACTGGTAGGGAACTTGGCACGCTGCTTTGTCCATCGAAAACTCTGGAATCAATATTAACATACCATTTGACATTCTCCATTTTAAGCACTTGTTCAAGACGTCTAAGGCAGGTTTTTTGGGGGGGAGGGCTGGATAATTTGTAGTTAACTTTTATCTCTCTCAGAAACAGCTATTAAATAGCTTTCGTCAAAATAAAAGGGTTTGATCCTGAATCGAATCTTTCTATAATTTTTCATAGTAAATGTTGTAGTAGTAGATTCACCATATTCACTGAGCCTGAGGTGCAGTGAACAATCATGTTGTTGTAGTAGTAGATTTCCCATATTCACCCGGCCTGAGGTGAACAATTGTTGTAGTCTTTCGATCTGGCAAAGTTTTAAAAACCTCATAATCACCGCTCCAATATCGTCTCAGGCTCACTGGTTGCTCGACCAATCACAGCCGCGCGAAACTCTATATTCTATATTTATGCAAAACTTATTAATCTATGTACCTAAAAAAGCATTGTCATTGTCATTGTCGTTGTCGTTGTCGTTGTCGTTGTCGTTGTCGTTGTCACTGTCACTGTCACTGTCATTGTCATTGTCATTGTCATTGTCATTGTCATTGTCATTGTCATTGTCATTGTCATTGTCATTGTCACTGTCACTGTCATTGTCATTGTCATTGTCACTTTATATTCAAGTCTTAAATTATACTAACATACAATATCTTACATGTTAATTACAGAAATGGGCCAGCTAACAGGGAGGTCAGCGGTTCTCTTATGCTTCATGATTCTTCATCATGATTTCATCATTGCTAGAAATCATATTCCATATTCTGGTGATAAAGAGCTAGAGAAGGATGTAGTTTATGATTCTCTGGGTCCTGTGTACATAGGACATGACGTGGCGGCATTTTATGATGATGTAAATTCTGAGCTCAAAGGTAAGAGATTCGATGAAAGCTATTGTTTTGTTACCCATTTTTAACGACTTAGAAATGACGTCACCGCGACACTAATGTGTCATGAAACATGCGAAGGTTGTTTGGCCAGTAAAAAATAACCACAAGCCCGCTATTCCGATGAAAATATAAGAACTATCGTGTCATTGTTATCAAGCGCTTATTATATAGCAACGTGTGTTTTTTTTTGTGACCTGGAAATCCATGATTTTAAGAGAAAATCTTCGAATTTTCTTGATTCTGATTGGCTAACATATGTTATGAGAGAGAAAATTAATGTTTTTACAGACTAAGCTAGACATCAGATTTCTAATTACTATTTCTTATCGTATGAAAACAAGATAAAGAACGATCAATTAGTTATTGAAAATATCGATATAAGATTTCAGTAAGGCTGCCATCACGCACGAGTTTAGATGATAGTATGCTTTGAATTTACAAGTAAACTACTTAGCTCCTCCCATTAGCATGTACACCTATGGTTACACCCTAAACACTCTTTACCCCTTTGCTTAGTTATTTTACCACTATTCTTTTAATCTTATGATATAATTATTCCTCGAAGACCTTTCTATACATTTACCATATATTCACATATTATCTTTGGTTTAAGCTATGTTTAGTTCTATGATTTTCACTCGTATTATTCTTAAATGAGATATCACACTTAGGAATTTACTATTTCCATTAGCCAATCAAGGCACAGCGATAATATTATACTGATTGTAGAATGACACCTGTCATGAAGTTATTATAAATAGAGCTCATGTAATTAGTTTTAGTCAGAAGAAGAGAAAGTAGAATAAAGATCCCGAGTAGCTCTACCGAGAGCGGTCCATCCCATAACACATATTCACTCAGATCAGCTGGACTGAGCATTGCTAATAATACATTTTCATTCATTACGCAGATGATAATCTATATAGTAGGACTCTATCGTCATCCAATAATTCCAGTAAGTATTCCATCAAGTCATGCTACGATCTGCAATGGACTTCGACAATACGGTAGCCATCTTAGATCGCAAAACATTTTGGGGCGTCCAGGGRGCAAATATAGCATTGTTACAGTAATGACGTCCATTGATATTAAGATGTTCACCACAAGAGAATACAACAAAAGTTGAAACACATCGATCACCTTTACCATAAAAGAAAGACAAACACGAAACTCTATATATTTTCTGTCATCTCTGCCCCTTGTCAAGATGGCCGCCGTATAGTCCAATCAATCCATTGATTCGCCAACTTTAGCTAATTCGTCTCATTTTCGTGTAACAGATTTGACGAAAAGTTTGCAGAAAACTGAAGGAGGTCGACGACGTAAGTAAATGGTATACTTTACGAGAGTCCTTCAGCTAGAAGGTGATCTGGATCTATCAATCCGTTTGCACGATTATACGGAGCAATTTGTTTTGCAGCTTCTCTCGAAACTACGTTGTGACACAAGTTGTATTTAACCTACAGTGCCATTTAAAAAATGCGAGACAAGTTACAGCAATCGTACAAAAAGTAGAATTCGTTTTAACTTTTGACAAAGATGCTCTCCGTTGCACCGTGCAAACACTATTGCAGCTTGTGTCGCAGCAAGTAAYACTATTCGTACTTATTACAACTTAGCAACGCTTGGACCCTTAAATATCATATATATTACTTCACATGTACAAAAATAATTCTCGTTGTATCTATCGGTCACCGCACCAAGACGCATGGCCGTAATGCTCGTCTTTTCACCGGTCAGCAATAGGGATGTCTCTTTCTAAAACTGTTGTAGGTAAGACCCATATAGCGACAGAACAGAGATCTCTCTGCCTCCTCAAACGTATTTTTTGACTACTTCAGGTCTACACGGTGGCYCATAAGGGACAAGCAGCAAGTTTGTATGTTAGACGAGTTCATATCAAACATCTAGTGTTGTATTTCCCTGTGTTTTACTCTAATGTTTTCGGTAAAAAATTCGAGTTGATTTCCAAAAGATGCGTATAAAGGTAGATTAATCAATGTTAAATAGGTTTCTCGGATTTTTAAGAAAGATTTCTGCAGATAACGATGGATGAAAAGCTCTTTCTACGTCAACTTC